CCAAGCTTGATTCAAGTAGGTGCTTTAGACCACTGAGCCATCTCTCCAGCCCCTTGAACATATTTTCATTGACATATTTTACTCAGTTTTCCAATAGGAGCAGAGTTTCCTTTAATATTGTCTTTGTGAACTACAAATTGAAACAGGAAAGGAAATAACAATATGGCGTCTATCATAGGAAATAAAATGTAACATGCTTTTTTCTCTTAGATGGGAATAATGAACAACCCTAATCCTTATGGCCCACCTTATACTCAGAATTCTGGACAACAGATAGGAGCCAGTGGCCTTGGTCTCCAGATTCAGGCAAAGACTGTTTTACCAAATAGCTTATCTCCATTTCCAATGGACAAAAAGGCTGTTCCTGGTGGGGGAATGCCCAACATGGTGAGTACTCATCAGTCATAAACTTCTCTTTCAACTCACATTTTAACAAAATAGTTGTGTTAAAAGCTTTGATGGGGGCTGGTGGGATGGCTCAGTGGTCTAAAGCACCTACTTAGAACAAGCTAAGCTAAGCAAAGCACAGGGACTGCGGTTCAATCCCCCAGCACCACATGCCAGCCAGCCCCGCCCCCTTGGTGGGCTGAGCTGGACACACACACACACACATTAATTAATTAATTAATTAATTAATTTAAAAAAAAAGCTTTGATGCCTTCTATACATTCCAGGGTCTGTCTGTACAAGGAGCCTGTGCGCTGGGTAGCTCATGTGAGGGAGCATAGGCCATTCTTCCATTTCATAAAGTTTGTTTTTTTTTTTTAAATTGTCAAGAGAGGCTGATCCCACAGAAGCAAGTCAGGAGCTTTAGCTAGTGAGCTTCCTAACGCTCAGGGATGTAGGTCCTTACTGCTCTTGGGAAAGGATCTCAACTTTCAAGGACTATATGTAGACCACCAAAGTAATTTCCCAATAATCCTTGCACATAGGAATCTTAGGTATAAGGATTAAGAGTTTAAAGCTAGCTTGGGCAATTTAGTGACAGTCTGCCTCAAACAAAACAAAAGTAAAGCAGTAAAGCTCCCCAGCACCACATGTACGTATACAGACACACAAACACACACTCCCTCCCTCAAATTTCTGTTTTTTAGGTCTAGGAATTGAATCCAGGGCTTCTCACATGCTAGACAAGCACTGACTGAGATGTATTCCAGGCTTTTCAGATATATAGTCTTTTTATGTTGCTCAGACTGACATCAAATTTGAGATCCTCCACCTCTACCTCAGCTTCTTAAATAGCTGAGGTTGCATGTGTGTGCCACCATGTCAGGCTAATCTTGTTTCTAGCTGTAAGTTTACATGGTACTCCACATTTGCATTTCAAAAATTTTTCTTTGGCAATTTTATTTTGTTCATTCAGAGGGATGGCTGTATGTAGTACTTGGAATGTGGTCAAGGTGTGCTGGGGATAGATGTATGTTGTGCAGTGTTTCAAAATACCACGTATACACTAGAAAAGTGCTAAAAAATGCCTCTTGAATGCACTACAGTTTATTCACCTGGTATAAACTGGGATGGAACTCAGGACCTTTCACTTGCCAGCCAGGTGCTTACTCTGCTGAGCTATCTCCCCAGCCCATGTTATGTTATTTTTTGAGACAGAGTCCCAATTCGCAGGCTAGTTTTGAGCTCATTATGTAGTCCTGGCTGGCCTTTAGCTCTAGGTCTTCTGAGTGCAATTTAGTTTCTGTTATTAATAGTAGTAGTAGCAGTAGCAACAGCACCAGAATTGAACTCAGGATCTTGCTCTTGCCGGGCAGGCACTTGTGTAGCCGGTCTCCCTAGCCTGCAATTTTGTTTCTCTTTCAAAAAGTTTTTTTATGTTCACTGCCTATATTTCAGATAGTCTGCTAAATATTAAGAGATGCAGAGATGACTGAAACACAGAATCTATGGCTTCAGAAATGCCTAATAGACAAACCTTTTAGTTTAATACTTTTCACCCACCTAAAAGGTCTTTGCTGAGTTAACTAAGAAGCTCCTTATTCCTTAAAAGCTTATGTCAGTCTACTCAGCCTGGACTTCTTGCTCTTCCCTTACTTGCTGGAGCATATGCTTTTGTTCTCTTTGATTTGGCTGTCTAATCAGACATATGAGTACTGTCATGGTTTATTTTCTTACTAAATAGAGGTTCTTGATGGAACAATGATTGGTTTCTATTTTAGTGCCTCTGTTAGAAATGGAATCCAGCAGTCAGGGATTTAGTCCATGGTGTAGCCACCTGCCTGGCAAGTATGAGGTCCTGAGTTTAATTCCTAGTGCCAAAAAAAAAAAGAGTCTGTAATAGAGTAGTTTTTAATTGAAAATATCCACATCTCTGTTTATTAAGAGATAGCACACCTTGACACTAATTATTAAATAATTGTATCTTTATTATTACTTTCATTAGGGCCAACAACCTGCCCCACAGGTCCAGCAGCCAGGCCTGGTTACTCCAGTCTCCCAGGGTATGGGTTCTGGAGCGCACACAGCTGATCCGGAGAAGCGTAAGCTCATCCAGCAGCAGCTTGTTCTTCTTTTGCATGCTCACAAGTGCCAGCGCCGGGAACAGGCTAATGGGGAGGTGAGGCAGTGCAATCTTCCCCACTGCCGCACGATGAAGAATGTCCTGAACCACATGACACACTGCCAGTCAGGCAAGTCCTGCCAAGGTGAGTGGGCTTGCGCCATGGAGGGATAGCTGAACTTATTACTTGGAATGTGGTCAAGGTGTGCTGGGGTAGACGTATGTTGTGCAGTGTTTCAAAATACCATGTATACACTAGTAAAGTGCTAATAAAAACCTTTAGCCTCTCAAATGTACTACAGTGTATTGACCTGATAAATAACATCTTGGCTGCTTCTAGGTCTTGATAATTATGAATAAAGTAGTTTTTTAAATTAATTTCTTAAAGTGTGTATTTTTAGTACAAGGTCTCACTACACAGATCAGACTCATGGTGATCTTCTTGTTTTCAGTCTCCCAATCGCTGGGATTGTAGGCGTGCCATACTGAACCCCAGTCCCTGAGCAGGCGCTTTAGTCCGCTGAGCTGGCTGGCTGGCCCTAAGAAAGCAGTTTTAAACAAAATTATTTTGAGAATCTTTTGCTTATAGTGTCTTACTGTACGTTTGTCAATTTTTGAAATTCAGTGTCATAAGTGAACATGGATATGGATAGTGGAATAAATGTAAGGGTCTCTTATTTTTGTGATGATCTTCATTAATGTTTATTTAGTCCAGTAGATTAACTTTTAAATATTATTAAAGGTTTGTTAATCACCAGGTAGGGAAATACCTAGTTTAACACAGTTTTTCATAATCAGTTTCATCCAGTCTAGTAGTTTGTATTTGGAGTCATTAGCAATGTTTTTATAAGTATGTATGTCATGTATACTTAACTTGTAGAGCATGTGGTGGAAGGGGAGACTCTAGAACCAGAGTACTTGAGTTTGAGAACAATTTTGGGGTACTCTGGCTTTGTACAAGTTGCTAAATCATTTTTTACTTTAAATTTTAAAATCTGAGTAGTAACCATCTTTTGTAGTGTTATAAAGATGAAGTGAATTACATTTTCATTACTTGTTAAATAGTAAATTAGTTGTTCTCAAAAACTTTCTAGTGGCACACTGTGCATCTTCTCGACAAATCATTTCACACTGGAAGAACTGTACAAGGCATGATTGTCCTGTGTGTCTCCCCCTCAAAAATGCTGGCGATAAGAGAAATCAACAGTGTAAGTAATGAATCTTTTGCAGGTTTATGCCCCAAGTTTTTTGTGGGAAACTTTTTGCCCCACAGCATTATATATTGAACTTAGGACCTTCATAAGAGAGTTACAATCCAACATTCCAGCTTGACACCCCCCCCCTGCCCCCCCGGGGTCTTTTTGAGACAGGGTTTCACTCTGTAGTTCAGGCTGGCCCTGAACTCCACTTTGTAGCCCAGCTTGAACTCAAACTCACAGCAGTTCTGCTTTAGCCTCCCGAGTGCTGGGATTACAGGTGTTTGCCATCATGTCTGGCTTTTTTTTTTCTTTTCTTTTTCTTCTTTTCTTTTCTTTTTTTTGGAAACAGGATCTTGCTATGTAGCTCAGGCCGGCCTTGAGCTCACTTTGTAACCCAGGCTGGTCTTGAACTTGCATGATCCTCCTGCTTCAGTTTCCTGAGTACTGAAATTGTAGGCACGCACCACCATACCCGGTCCCTTTCTTTTTCTTTTGGTACTGGGAATCAAACTCAGGACCTTGTACTTGCCAGGCAGGTGCTTGTGCTGCTGAGCTATATACCCTAGCCCAAGTTTTTCCCCCCATGTGAGAAAGCATCTCACAAGTTGCTCATGGTAGCCTCAAATTTATCATGTTCCTAACTCAGTTTCCTAGAGTGCTCGGACTCCCAGGTGTATACTGCTACACCTGGTATGCCGCAAGTATTGTGGGAATCTCACCAGTGCCATTTGATAAGGTTTTAGAGTACTTTCTGTTTATGAGGTTCTTCTGCCTACCTGGTATTATTATACTTTGTTGAAAAAATAGTTTCCCTTTTCTCCTTTTCTGCTTCCTATTCATAACCAGTGCATAGACTTAAACTACTTGATAAGACAAGGAGTTCTGAATATCCCTTAATATCTTTGACTGAAATAGTCAGATGATTTGAAATTATTTATATAGCAGGAAAACAATTGAGATTTTGTATTGTCTTGGGATGAAGAAAGGCTTTTCTTAGGGAAAAGGCCAGTCTTAAATCGTAATACATTTAAAAGTGCACCTACTGAATCTCTAGCCACAAAAGATTAAGCATTTACAGTTGAAACACAAAGTAGGTGTAAAGTATGTGAAAGTGAAATTAAATTCCTTAAACAAATCATAAAGTACTTGGTAGAAAATTGGGATGAGGAAACAATTCACTAGGAAACATGACAAGGATCAGTATTACATAATGACATAGCTATCATTCTGTCACATAGGCAGAAAAGATGCTGCCTACTATCAGTGGGTGGCTGTATGATGTGTGTACAGTGGGGGGGGGCGTTTATAGAGCCTATGAGAAGTCATATTTTGGTATTCTGGATAAAAATCTTTCATTCTGGTGAAGTTTTTTTTTTTTTTTTTTGCGGAACCGGGGATTGAACTCAGATTCTTGCGTTTGCCAGTCAAGCGCTTATCCTACTGAGCCATCTCCCCGGCCCCTCTGGTGAAGTTTTTGAACCTTATTCTTCCCCTGTTTGTTTTTTTTGAGATGGGGCCTTGCTAAGTAGTTTACGCAGCCTCTCCTGAGTGCTAGGATTCAGGCATGTAACACTACACTTGAAAATGCATGTAGAAATTGTTTCAAGAAAAAATAGACAAGATACGTTTACTGAGATATTTGATATTCATTTAAGAATAATTCTGTTTTTTGAAGTTCCCTGGGATATCTTCGTCTTTTTCTCAGTAACTTTAATATTGTAATTCCATGCCTTTTGTTTTCTCTAGCAATTTTGACCGGAGCACCCGTTGGGCTTGGAAACCCCAGCTCTCTAGGGGTGGGTCAACAGTCTACTCCTAGCCTCAGCACTGTTAGTCAGATTGATCCCAGCTCAATAGAAAGAGCCTATGCGGCTCTAGGACTGCCCTATTCAGGAAACCAGATGCCGCCACAATCCCAGGTGCAGGCGAAGAACCAGCAGAATCAGCAGTCTGGGCAGTCGCCCCAAGGCATCCGGCCCATGAACAGCATGAGTAAGTGTAGGTCTTCTCATCACAGAGGGGATGTTGGATATGTGTGTAAATGTCTCTGGATGTTACTATTTATTTTACACCTTTTTATTTATGTAAATTTGATACATGATTATTCAAATTGTAGCACTTTTATAATCCATTTATTAGAGATAGCGGCCAATGGTATATGGATTATACATCCTTTTGATCATTTTTTCACATATGTGAGTTGGCATTTCTAGAAATGGGATCCCATATAGTCCATGACATTAACATTGGACATCTTTTGTGTACCATATCCTCCTGTACATCCTACAGTGATCAGATATGATGATCTCTTACAAATGGACATTAACAATTTCTAGGTTCTTATTCATTTTGTTTTTGCACTTTTAAGCTGTTCAAGGGCTGGGGAGATAGCTCAGTGGCATAGGCACCTGCCTGACAAGTACATGGTCCTGAGTTCAATCCCCAGTAAAGGGGTGGGGGGAGAAAAGTTGAAGTGTTCAACAAGAATTGTGTTGACTTGAGCTGTTGTTTGGCTTGAAATGTATAGAAGTGAGTGTGGTTGCAATCACTCTAGATCGCCATGTAACTCCCAGAAGGCCTAGTGTGTCTTTGCCAGTGTTATGTCCTGAGTTGAGACTTCTTCCCTGCTTTGTCTGTGATAAAAAGAGCTTTGCTCTGTAAGTAACCCTTTGCTGTCAGGCATTTAAATATGGAAGCCATTTTGTTTAGTAGGGTCGTGTTGAGCACTTTGATTTCTCTGGCTTTTTGTTTTGTTCTGGAATTGTTTGTGGTGGTGTCTTCTTGTAGCCAGAGAGCAGCCTGAACTGGAATGAACCTAGCACACACACACTTCCCCAGGAGATCTTTTTTCACCTTTCTATTATGAATTGCAGGCAGCTTTAGGTTTTCAGATCGGTTTAGTGCTACTCTTCACTTTTATTTTGTACTGGAGATTGTACCCATGACCACATGCATGCCAGGCAAGCAGGCTATTATTGTCCTGTCATGTCCTTTCTGTTACCCCCTCTGGTTTTACCTTTTTTTCTTCTTACTCTTCTCTGATGTGTTCAGCAGTCAGTTGTTACTTCTTGGATTGATGTGTTGATGATGTTCAGGGCATTTTCCTCCGCCTCCTTTCCATTTACTAACAAAACAGCATTGATTTTCACTTCCATAATTTGAGTTCAGTGGTGCAAAGGAGCTTCTGATTCTCTGCGCTGAGGTTCATAGATCTGTTTGGAGGCGGTGACTGGAGATTGAGCCTAGGTCTTCACATTGAGTTCTTTGGTTAACAATAAATATCTTTACCATTACTGTGAACCAAACCTTTTAGAATACTTTATTTCTTTTATTATGTTAGGTCATATCTAGACTTCTGCTTTTTGAAATTGAATGACATAACCCAAAGCTGCAAAGGCCTACTTTTGGAGTATTTTTCCTTTTTTTTTGGCACAGGGAATTGAACTCAGGACCTTGACCTTGCCAGGCAGGCACTGTGCTGCTGAGCTATCTCCCTTGCCCCCATATTTTTGCTTTTATATCAACCCCTTTCAAAAATGTGTTTATGGGCTGGGTATGGTGGCACATGCCTGTAATCCCAGCACTTGGGAAGCTGAAACAGGAGGATTGTTGGGAGTTCAAAACCAGCCTGGGCTACATAATTTAGCTTAAGGCCAGATTGAACTGCATGGCAAGACCCTATCTCAAAAAGAAAAAAAAGGTATTTATGTTGGGCATGATGGCTCATACCTACAGTCCCTGGACTTGGGAGCCTCTACTCACCCTGAATTTGAGGCCAGTATAGGCAGCTTCTATAGCAATCATGAATTGCACCGCTACAAACATATTGTGTGTGTGTTCCTTAAGTATGATGTCTTTAACTCTGGGGACAATAACTTGAGGCAAAAATAGAATAGGAAATAATGGAATGCAATGAAAGGCAAACACTCATATTTTTAACAATTGGGCTAAAAACATTTAAAGAGAAGATAGTCCCTTTAACAAATAGTGATAGGAAGACATTATCCCGGAGCAGAAGAATGAAACTAGAATATAACTCACCCTACTAAAATCAAATAAAAATTGATTAAAGACCTTAAAATACTGAAATACAGAAAGACTGAAACTGCTGGAAGATGAATAGGGAAAACACTTGAGGACATAGCCATAGGTAAAGGCTTCTGAGCATAACTCGACTCCAGTAGCTCAGGAAATAGTACCAAGAATCAACAGATGGTTTCTAAGTTGAAAAACTTTTCTACGCAGCAGGGGAAACAAACAACAGAGTAAGAAGCAGCCTTCAAGTGGGGGAATTTTGGTTTTCCCCCTGGTACTAGGGATCAAACTCAGGACCTTGAGTTTGCCAGGCAGGCACTTATGCCACTGAGCTATCTCCCCCAAGTGGGAGAATTTTTTTTGCCAGCTATTCTTCTGGTAAGGGACCAATATCTAGAAAGATGCTATATAAAGAAATTCAAAAAAATTAAACTCTTAAAATCAAATGGCTTAGGGGGCCTTGCCCTAGCTCAGGCCTTTAAGTGGCTGCTTCCACAAAGCTGTCAGCCTCAGGTTGCTGGAGTTCAAACCTCACATCTCTCCAGTTGGCCAAAAGTGCCCTGAAGGCATTCGAGGAACAAAAAAAAAAAAAAAAATCAAATGGCTTAGTAAGTGAAGTGGGCAGACCTGTGAAATGTATTCAGTCAATTTACATTCTACATTTAAATTTCTCCACTTGTACCCCAAAGTCAGTAAGTTAGTTGAAAGGTTTACTAGAGAGGGAGCATGTATCTTTTTGCCATTCCCCCCATTCTGGAACAGTTGTCAAAGTCTTGATTTTTCAGTTGGTTTGTACTCTGAAAGGTTTTTTTTTTTTTTTTTTTGTTTTTTTTTTCTCTCTATAGGTTTTTTATGATGCTTACTTGGTAGTTGTTTTCTCTAAATTGTTTCCAAGTCGTAGATTTTTGAAAAAATATATGTATGTCCTATAATCTTTATGTGAAAGAATATAGTACTGGGTAGGATGAAGAACTTAGGTAAATACAGATGCTACCATGTAGAAAATACAGTTTTAAGCCGGGTGTGGTGGCACATGCCTATAATCCCAGCATTTGGGAGGTTGAGGCAAGAGGATCATTGTGAGTTCAAGATCAGCCTGGGCTACAAAGTGAGTTCAAGGCCAGCCTGAACTGCGTAGTGAGACCCTGTCTCAAAAAGACAGTAAATGAATGAAAATGTGTGTGTATGTATGTATGTATGTGTGCATGTATGTGGTTTTAGTTCCAGCTTGTGGCGACAAATGTAGCTCCTACTGTGGCATAACTGGCTGTAGTGCTGGAGCCTCTCAGATGCAAATTGTTGATACTTGCATGGACCAGGTAGTACAACAGATGATGAACAGCATTAATTCAGCTTGTGCTGAAAGCAAAACTAAAGGGCCACACATCCTATGTGGAAACATCTCTAGTCTGGCTGGGCAGGGAAATAATCCTGATCAGGTTTTCTGTAGCATATGTCAGGCTGTGGAGACTTTGTAGCAGAGAAGGAAAGAGAGAGCCCTCTGGAGCCTGGAAATTTTGAAATATAGATAGTAATTATAAAGTAAGCTTTTTACTAGAGAACTCTAATTATAAAATAAGCTTTTTACTTGAGAACTCAGTGTTGATAGTTGACCATTTTCATAGTTTTTTTGTTTGTTTGTTTGTTTTGTTTTTTTGGTGGAACTGGGGATTGAACTCAGGCCCTTGAGCTTGCCAGGGAAGCGCTTATTCTACTGAGCTATCTCCCCTGCCCAATGCATTTTCATAGTTTTGTTGTTCGTGAATTCAGTTAATCTACAAATGTTTATTGGGATGGGATTGTTTCTATGGCGTAGAAATCAGAAATATATTCTCGTGGATTTTTAGGTAACATAAATTCTTTTTTAATCTTTTTCTCCCTGATTCTTCCACATTGCCAATAATGTCTGATTACTTCCATTCCTGTATTCCATGTGATGCTCACCTTTAGGATCTTTAGTAATAGCCAATATATAGATGAATACTTTTTCATTTAATAGTTTTTGTATGAAATAGTTGAAAACATTATAAAGCAGATGTGACATAGTATTTGTTTAGTCTGTTTATTTACATAAAATCATATAGTATTGTGCTAGAAACAGGGCTCCTGGAGCAAGAGATGAGAGAGCCATTCTTTGAAACCAATGTTAAATGAACCTGGAGATTGTGAAGAGAAATGTTGTGGTGGTGCATGTTCATGTGCCATCAGAAGGCTATAAGATACGTTGCACTTGGCAATTGCTAAAACAAATCCATGTTGTGAACGTTTTTACAAAATGTTCATAGGCCATGATGACAGTTGTGGAGAGCTCAGTTCTGTTTCAGAAGTGACCACTTCTAGCAACTACTTTTCATTTGTATTGTCTCTTGGGTATTCTTTATATGTGTCTACGTGTTGTATTTATTTATTTGTTCATATGGTGGTACTGGGGATCGCACCCAGGGCCCTGTACATATAAGGCAAGAACTATACCACTGAGTCACATTCCCAGCCCACTAGCAGATACTTTTTAGATAGTCAGCCTGATTGGAAGTATTAGGGAGCATAGTGAAAGAAGGCCAGTTTTTATTTTCATTAAAAATTATTTACTGATCTTACTGATTTTCGTTTTAGTGGGAAGTTTTTCTTTTGTGATACCAGGTCTCAAACTTAGGACCTTGCACTTGCCAGGCAGGCTCTTATCCCACTGAGATATCTCCACAGCCTGGAAGTTTTTGTTTTTGGCGGAACTGGGGATTGAACTCGGGCCCTTGCGCTTGCCAGGGAGGCGCTTATTCCAAGTTTTTGTTTTTTAACTAAAATAACTTGAGGTATAACAAGAGGTAATAGAATTGTGCATCAAAACAGTTTTCACATGAAAAGCTTTTCTACTGTGAATGCTACAGTTGTTTTTGCATGAACTATTCAAAAAATTATTGAAAAAAATACGTACATAGAACTTCTTCCAGCTGTTTTAAAGATATATTCAAGAAAACATGTTTTCCTTTAACACAGACAGTGCATGTTGTCCCTCTCCTGCAGGGAGAGTCACTGTAATTATTATTATTATTATTATTATTTTATATAGGCTCTCACTATACAGCTTGGACTCATAGTGATCCTCCTATCTCAGCTTCCCCAGATCTGGGATTACAGGCGTGTGCCACCATGCCCAGTTTTGGTTTTTGGCTTGGCGCAAGGCTGGCACAGCATGCAGTTGGCACAACATGTGGTACTGGGGATCGAAACTAGGTCCTAGTACTTGCCAAGCAGGTGCTTGGACTGCTGAGCTATTTCCCCAGCCCTGTGTGTTTTCTTATGTCCTTGTGTAAATTTGTTGTGCTAATGAAAGTATGTGTCTGTTGACACTTTGAGTCTTTAACAGCTTTGATTGTAATTGTTTTGTTTTGTGTGTAAGACAGATAGTCTGCAGAAAATCCTAAAGCAAAGTTTATGTATAGAGATTTTTATCTGGTAGTACTTGTGGACAAACCTTGTTTCTCAGTGTATACATCTGTATTTAGATTGGCATTGTTTTTTTTTCCCCCTTGATTCTTATCAATACATAAATTTAGATTATTAAGTTTTAAAATTTCGGACAATTTCAGGCATTGAAAATACACTCTCTTTTCACATTTTTTTGGGATGATTTTTTTTTTTTCCCCACCCCGGAACCAGGGATTGAACTCAGACCCTTGCGCTTGCCGGGGAAGCTCTGACTCTACTGAGCCATCTTCCTGACATCTTTTCACATTTTTTAAAAGGTATTTGTTTCATTTTTGGTGAATTTCCTATTCCTATTGGATTATTCACCTTTTCTTTATTGGTCTGTAAGGGTACCTCATATGTCATGTTAGCTTTCATGTGTTGTTAATCGTGTTCCTGATAATTACATAGTCGTTTGTATTGACTTCCTGATTTTTATTGTATGGCTTTTGTTTTGACTTAGGTGCTAGTCCTATGGGAGTAAACGGAGGTGTAGGGGTTCAAGCACCAAATCTTCTTTCTGACTCGATGTTGCATTCAGCCATAAATTCTCAAAAGTAAGTTTTATCTTGGTTTGTGCTGAGTCATATTTTAAGTACTAAAAATTCTTTTGAGTTCTTAGTTTACTTGATTTGAAGATAACCTTTATGAATGGCAAAAATCAATATTGTATCATTTTACTTGAAATTATATTAGTTAAGTGGAATAACCTACATTTGTCAAATACAAAAAAGTTGTAAGATGATATGTATGTATAAAAATTGTTTTCTTGGGGCTGGGGAGATTGGGCCTGAGTTCAATCCCCGGTTCCACCCAAAAAAAAAGAAAAAGTTTTTCTTTATCCTAAACCTCATTATTCAGGGGGTTTTCCTTGAGATAACCTTGCCCAGATGACACTTTAGTCTAATGACACAACCTACTTTTTCAAACAGAAGTCTCTACCATGTCGCATGTAACTCTTCTCACAGGTACAAATAGTGTTGCGACACAAATGTATACATGCACAGGTGCACATACACAAACACATGCACTTATACTAATAGACTTCCTGTAGAGTATTGGACCCATGGCAGTAGTAATTGTCACCATTAGTTAAGGTCTTTTTTTATTTTAAGGAGGGGTCTACAGGGTGTTCAGGGTCTCACTACTAGATCAGATTTGTAGTGATCTGCCTGTTTACAGCCTCCCAAGAGCTGGGATTATAGGTGCACAACACCACACCCAGTCTCATGCACCCTGGGGTTGGGGGCAGGCCTCAGGGATCAAACCCCCGGCCCCTGTGTCTGCTTGTAGGCACTTTAATCTGCTGAGCTATTTGGCTGGCCTTCAACAAGGTCTTTCTTTTGTGCGCGTGCACCCCCCTACCCCCCAAATCTATTTTTCCTTTTGTTTGTTCATTTGTTTTGGGTTTTATTTACTTCTTAAAGCCCAATGATGAGTGAAAATGCTGGTGTCGCTTCCCTGGGCCCTATGCCAACAGCAGCTCAGCCATCCAGTACTGGAATTAGGAAACAGTGGCATGAAGATATTACTCAGGATCTTCGAAATCATCTTGTTCACAAACTGTAAGTAAGGTTTTGGTACTGTGTCTCACTGGTAAGAATTGTCATACTTGGGTTTGGTGGCACACAGGTGTAATCCCAGCTACTTGGGAGGCAAGAGGATTGAAAGTTTGAGCCCAGCTGAGCCTTGGCAACTGAGCAGTTTTGTGAGACCCTGTCTTAAAAAAAGAACTGGGGTTGCAGCTCAGCGCAAAGGCCCTGAGTTGAATCCCCAGAACCACAGTAGCAGCAACCATAAAAACGACATGGGCTACACATTTAACAAGTAAAGACCTATGACTGATTTTCCTGTTGTGTGGCTCTAGATGTTGATAACTCTACTTTGTCATTTTTGCTGCTGCTTCTCTGCTTCCTGTTTTTCAAGTTTTGTTCTGTTATTTGTAAGAGTCTTCTTGCTTTGACATGATATGAACCTAAAAATTAATAAATTTTAAATTGTTCATTTTGTGTCTTTGTCTTAGACAACCTACATTTTATAAGAAAAACTAGGCCTCAATTGTTTAAAAGCAGGGTAGAAAGGATGTTTTCTGTTATTCCAGGTAGTTGATTATGTGGATAAGTTGAATCTGTGGTCTTCTGGTCTTCCAAATGTACTCACAATAGTTTATGAAAAACTTTCTGCATGGTTTGTTGTGAAGTTGATACATGGCAGTTGTCCCAGTTATTCTCTTGGTGCTGCAACAAATTTGAGCCTGATGCTCAAAATTAGGGAAGGAAATATTTAGCTCATGGTCAGTGGAGGTTTCAGTCCATACTCAGCTGGCTCCAAGGCGGAGCTGCACATCGCAGAGAGCATCCGTTCATATTAGTGGCAAAAAATAAGAGAGCAAAAGGATTAGCAGCAGCAATGGCAACAGAAAGCCACTCTGTCTCCCTTAAGTTGCTTTCAGGCTAACTGCCCCCACGCTAGAAGTGGTACTCACATCCATATTCCCAGTGGATCTTGAGTTATTTATGAACTCTAGATGTCCACCCCATGACTGTATGAGGCTTTGGGGGGTCAACTAGACACAAACCATAACAGCAGTTACCTCTTCACAAACTCCCATCTTATTTCATGTAAAGAGGTCTTGTCAGATGGAGGTAAGGGGTGGCATATGAAGTGATAAAATGTCATGTGCCTGGTCATAAAGGGAGAGCTTAAATCTTGCTCTTTAAGAGTTTGCACTTTGTACAACATGAAGCTTTTTTTTTTTTTTTTTAAGAGAAAGTACTGTTTTTTTACTTGAGTTTTACCTACTAGCAGGATCTCCTTTTTTCCATCTTTATTTGGTGCTAGGCAGTTGCCTTCTTGTTGATCTCAGGATAAAAAATAAATTTAAAAGGAGAGGCTCAACGTGAAGGCAATTGCCTATGGAATTTGATGAGAGAACTCTTATTTAATGAAATAAAGAATAACCACACTATTGTTTTGAATAAATTGTTTGGAGCCTTTTATTTAAAAGATAAAGAACATAGATTATTTGAGATTAATCATCTGATTTAACATTGAAAGATTTTTATGTGTTTGTGATTTTTCTTCCAAGTCTTACATTTTTGCAGTCTAGTTCCTTCAGGTAATGTATAGCTAAACATGGCAAACTAAGTGCCTTTTAACAAAAAATAGTTTTTGCCAGAGGTGGTGGTGGCATATGCCTACAATCTCATCACTTGGGAGGTTGATATAGGAGGATTGCCACAATTGTGAGGCTAGCCTGAGTCATACGGTATGACTTTGTTTAAACCCCTCTCCTCCAATCATTTGTTGGTTGTTCACTCTGTCGGTTGTGTAGCCCAGGCTGTTGTGTATGTCTTTGTGTTGCTCCTGTGTCAGGCTTTCTAATGTTGGGAGTGTAGATGTGTATTACTACAAGTTGCTAAAAATCACATTTTTCAGTCTTAGAATAGTAAGCATTGCCAAACATGTTGTAGGGAATTCCTCAAGTATTGGAAGCTTGGAAATTAGCCAGAATCCTGCATTACTGCTCTTTCTATCTTAAGTTTGTGCTTAAAACTGTGGAGTAGTTATTTATTTAATAAAATGAATAAACTTAGGAGTAAACTACTCTTAAGGCTCTTTTTTTTTGGAGACAGGGTCTTACTCTGTAGTTCAGGCTGGCCTTGGACTCACTGTAGCCCAGGCTGGCCTCAAACTCAGACTGGTGACAATCCTCTTGCCTCACTCTTACAAGGGTTGAGATTATAGGAGAGTGCCACAGCCCAGTTTAAAGCCTTTGAATCTATGACAGAGGGTAGGTTTTCTTTATAGAAGTAATACTACTGGGGGCCGGGGAGATGGCTCAGTAGGATAAGCGTTTGGCTGGCAAGCGCAAGGATCTGAGTTCAATCCCCGGTTCCGCCAAAAAAAAAAAAAAAGGTAATACTACTATGTAATATTTTGCTCTCCACATAAGATAATAAGAACCACAGAGTATTTTTATGGAGTCATTTTTCATATTGTAATCAGGAAAAGCCTTTTTACACAAATAATTTCAGTGTGTGTTGTTTTGTATGAGTAGTTCTTTTTCATACTCTGTTGTGTATATAAAGAAGGGCATATAATAGGAAAACGTTTAAAGGAGTATACATTTGATGACATGAATGAAGAGCTGATATGGCATTACAGTGGTAGGATATTCTTTTCCCAGTGTTCAAGCCATATTTCCTACTCCGGATCCTGCTGCTTTAAAAGACCGACGGATGGAAAACCTGGTTGCCTATGCTCGCAAAGTGGAAGGGGACATGTACGAATCTGCAAATAATCGAGTGAGCATCTGGTTTTTCTTTTTTGTTAAGTAGCAAGTGGACCTGTTCTGGTTAATTTACTTTTCTTCTGTAACATTACACAAATACAGTGCTTCTGAGCATTTCCTTTAGGGATTTTGTCTTTCTGTTACTGAATACAGACAAGGTAACAAAGGAATTTTAATAGTATGTCATCAAGAATCTTCCATTCTCCCTCTGTCAATTTTAAAATTGACCTAGGGGCCAGGGAGATGGCTCAGTAGAATAAGCGCTTGCCTGGCAAACACTAGGGCCTGCGTTTAGTCCCCAGTTCCGCCAAAAAAATAAAAATAAAAAATAAATAACATTGATTTAGTTGTTACCAATTCTGAACTGTTTTTGGGTCCCCCCCCCCCAGAATATGATGAATCAGATACTTGGTATTTTTATTTCAAGTTGTACTTTAGTTATGTCAGTTTAACTTTCTTTCTAGATTGTCACTTCTAGGAAATGCAGGATTTTTGTTTTTGTGTCCTGTAAATGCCTGTGTGTATTTTTGTGAAGCTACTTTCAAAGGGCCTGCTTTATTGTGTTATTCATAGGAAAAGTGCTGGTCATATGGCCATTCCAAACATAAATTTGTGGAATGACCAAAGAAAATAGATCTGTTCCCCCTTTTAGATTTTGCCTACATTTATGTATTTATTTATTTATAGAAATTTTTTTGGTTTTTCCTTCCTTTTCTCTTCTTTCTTAGTTGAGGCTTATTTTTTGGTTTGGGTGCCAAGGACTGAACCCACAGCTTCCAGCTTGCTAGGCAAGCGGTCTACCACTGAGCTAAATCCTCAGCCCCCTTTACCTACTTTTTAAAATGAAGGTAATATTGATTCTGAGCTTGGTTTTTTGTTTTTTGTTTTTTGTTTTTTGTTTTTTTATATTACTCAATGAAAGTTCCTCTTCTTGCCTTCTCTTTTACTTCAAAAATTACAAAAGGCGGAGTACTACCACCTTTTAGCTGAGAAGATCTATAAGATCCAGAAAGAACTAGAAGAAAAACGAAGGACCAGACTACAGAAACAGAATATGCTGCCGAATGCTGGGGGCTTGGTGCCGGTGTCTATGAATCCAGGGCCTAACCTGGGACAGCCCCAGCCAGGAATGGCTTCCAGTAAGTGCATTGTGTACTGGAAACGTCAACTATTAAATGCGCCCTAGCTGAAGCCGTCTGTTCATATGCACTTTTGTAGGTGGTGGTCTAGTTCATGTATATTACAGTACATGACTGTGTCCATCACGGGCGTATACCCCCTGTGCGTATGTGGAGTACCTCTATTCTTTTTAGGCCCCTTCTTCCTACTCTGCAGTTTTTCTAATAGCCTTTTGCTGGTATGTAGAACATAATTCATCACCAGCTTGAAAAAGAAAAGCACCTGAACATTTTGACATTTCTAGACATATTATCTAACATAAATAGTTAATTGACATCATTCTCAGAAACCAAGGAGGGCAGGGGGTATAGCTCAGCAGACTAAACACTTGCTTAGGTAAGCGCAGAGGCCAGGGTTTGATCCCTGACTCTGCCAGCCCCGCCCCCAGGTGCTCTGAGCTGGCAATGGAGTTTGGGCATGGTGGCATGTGCCTATAATCCCAGCCCCTCCAGGGAGGCAGAAATCAGGAGGATCACTATGAGTCTGGGCTGTATAGTGAGACCCTACACACACACACAAAAAAAAAAAAACAAAAACAAAAAACAAAAACAAGAAACCAAGGTCACCAAGTTTTTCTTGCCATCTGCAGTACTTATTAGCTTGCATGTGATAAGAAACCAGGAAAGGTTTGTAGGCCAGTCAGGATATTGACACAATACCTACAAAGCTGATATCATTTATTCATTCATTCATTTTGTCTTTTTTGAAACAGGGTCTCTCACTTTGTAGCCCAGCCTGACCTCAGATTTACAGAAGTCCTCCTGCCTCACCCTCCCAAGTTTTTAGAGGCATGTGAAATTAGGTCTTGACAGCCTACCTCTCTGGTTGTGAAGCATCATTCTTGACCTAATAAATTTTCCTGCTAGTTAAGACTGTTCTGTGTGGCCTTATTCATATACTGACTGACTACATTCCTTGCAGTGAAATAGTGGGACACAGAATGAAGAGCACAGGTGTTTAAATGGTGTGAGAAAAGCTGTGATAGGAAATGTCTGTGTTCAGTGAGTTAGGGAATATTGGCTACTTGTAGGAATGACTAGGGGCCGGGGAGATGGCTCAGTGGAAAAAGCGCTTCCCTGCCAAGGGCAAGGGCCTGAGTTCAATCCCCGGTTCCCCCCACTCCAAAAAAGAAAAAAGGAATGACTATCACAGCCAGCAAGTAGAAAATGTTAGGCTATCAGCGGATTGGTAATGGGCTCAGAAATTCATCTCCCTCCCTCCTTGAAGTGGTAAAGGGAGGAACTACTTAACTGACTTCTTCACCCTTGTTGATTCCAGTGTGGGAGATGTAGTAGTGTTTTCTGATTGGGAAGAATAGCATTTTTGACAGAAGGAATAGTATATAAGGAGAAAATATGTGTACTTTTCTGTGGCTGAAACAGGCTGGGGGAAGGGTGCTACATGTGGGTATTGAGACATGATCTTGCCATGTAACCCAGGCCAGAGTAAAACTCACAATGATCTCTCCATCACCTGACAAAACACTTTTTTTCCTGAGTACAACTGACGACTGTCAGGATAAGAAAGTCGAGATTATTTTGGTTGGAGAACCTGCTTTGGTACATGGTTAAGCGAGAGCAGTGTTGACAAAGCTTTTAGAGCTTTTGATAGGTTTACCACCACTGAGCCAGAGTTCTTGAAGAGGCACAACTGGACATACAGTGTCTGGTTTAGGTAGAATTTATTCAAGTAGTCTAATATTAGTAAAAACAGTGTGGTGTTATCCTATAAGCAGGTATATGTATTAGTGGAATTGAATAGCAATAGCCAAGTCTGAGCTTACTTTGAACTTAGTAAACCTTAGATATTTTAGGATGAGATCCCTACTTTATCTTACACATAGAAATTGTGAAAAAGTAAAAACTTTCCAAGCTGTATAAAATTTTTAAAACTATATAAAATATTCAAGAAAATAGAAAAGAATTAAAGGTTACATGTCAAGGCATAAGAACTAAATTAGTAGAGACTAGGGCTCTCTTGACGGCTCAAATGCACTTCTAAATTGAGCTAAGAAAGCCAGATGTGATGCACGCCTTTAATCCCAGTACATTGGAATCTGAACTACATAGTGAGACCCTGTCTGAAAAACAGAACGAGATGAGGAGCATCCACACCAGCAGTGCAACCAAGGCTGTAACGTGCACCTCTAGGAGGGACGAACCAGGGCACCATGGGCCCTCTTGTTTTTCAGGGAAGCTATAGAAATATTTTTCTCTGCACCTTGTTAGAAGTGCTGTACTAGAGGATGCATAAATTCAAGAAAACATTAGGGGCCGGCCAGATAGCTCAACAGCTTCAGACTTGCCTCTGAAGTCCACAGAGGAAGAGACACCTGCAAGCAGGCGTGGGGGGGGGGTGATCCCCCAGCCTGCTGTGCCAGCCCTGCCCCTGGGGCACATTGAGACGGCAGTTGAGATTGGCTTGGTGGGGTGCACCTGTAATCCCAGCTCTTGGGAGGCTGTAAACAGGCAGATCACTATGAGTCTGACCTAGTAGTTGAGACCCTGAATACCCTGTAGATGCTTCCCTAAAATACAAAAAAGAAAAAGAAAACATTAGAATTTATAAAGCATTTCCATTTTAATCTCTTTATTTTAGTATAATATTGAGGTGTTCTTTGGGCTCCTGTCTAGTTCACAGCTTTATTCCTTTTGGGTTTTATGAAATAGTTTCTTGCTGTGAGACCCAGTGTGGCCTTAAACTTGTGAACCCCCTGCTTCAACTGCATGAATTCTGGAATTGAAGATGTATAGCACCACTTAGCTCTGAGCTTTACTGTCTTTGAGAGCCAGACTGGATTTTTCAAGCTATCTAATGATACATTATAGTTTTTGTTGCTTTTTGGTAAAGGGTAATTGGCATAAATACTTCAACCATTTTTGTTTCTCACTCCAGATGGTCCTCTCCCTGATCCAGCTATGATCCGTGGCAGTGTGCCAAACCAGATAATGCCTCGGATAACTCCACAACCTGGTAAATTGTGAATGAATTTGTGGTCATTTTTAATAGTCCCTGATGTACTACCAAACTGTACTTGCATTAATTTCTGCTTTCTGTCAGCAGCAGGTATCACAGTTCCCTGCTTGAGAAATTATAATACCTTTGCGTTGAAGTCCACAGAGGGAGAGACGCTAAAGAATACGTTAGCTGACAGATCAAAGGATAGGTGACAGTAAATGACTAAGCTAGCATTTAAAACAGTTGTAAAATTTAGTTCACAAATCATGTTAAAGGCCAGGCTTATTGGCACATGCCTGTAAGCCCAGCACTTGGGAGGCTGAGACAGAAGCATCATTGTAAATTTGAGGCCAGCCTGGGCTACAAAATGAGCTCAAGGCAAGCCTGAACTGCAAAGGGAGACCCTGTCTCAAAAAGACAAAAAAGAAGCTGAAGAGATAGTTCTTCAGTCTGACAAGCACAAGGACCCGGGTTTGATCTGGACCTGGAATCCCAGGGCACACTATGCTGGCTTCGAAAACGGGGTGTGGTGACGCCCTCCTGTAATCCCAGCACTGGGGAGGCTGAGATAGGAGGATCACTGTGAGTCCAAGCTGTGTAGCAAGACCCTGTACCAAATAAATAAAAATAAAATTTAAAAAAGGACAAAGAAGAGAAATTAGTCTTGTTACATATAATGCCTTTAATTACGTGTGAAACATTTATAGTTACAAAGTGGAAAACATATTTGTGAGTCTTTAGTACATGATAATAGAATCATATAATATAACACTCTTGTCTTGTTCTGCAGTTCCATGAAGGTGTTCAGGGATAATATGTTGTTTATCTTCGCAGGTTTGAATCAGTTTGCCCCAATTAGTATGCCCCAGCCACCCATTGGCCCCCGGCAAACCTCTCCACTTCAGCACCCTGGGCAGTTGGCTCAACCTGGTGCTCTCAATCTGGTAAGTTTGACTTTTTGTACAATCTGTTTGATCTCTACCTCATAAAACCTTTTAAGTTTTTAAAACTCATTTTTCGGGGGCTGGAGAGATGGCTCAGTGGTCTAAAGCACCTACTTGGAACAAGCTTGGCAAAGCACAGGGACCGCGGTTCTATCCCCCAGCACCACATGCCAGCCAGCCCCGCCCCCTGGTGGGCTGAGCTGGCCACACACACACACACAAAATAAATAAATGTAAAAAAAAATTAAAAAAAAAAAAACCTCATTTTTCTGCTGGGTTAGGTGGCGCAGACCTGTAAATCCCAGCAGTCAGGAGGCTGGCAGGAGGGTCACTGCAACACTGAGGCCAGCCTGAACTTTGTTGTGAGACCCTGTCTTGAAGAAGTATTATTTTTCTTTTTTTAACCTCATAAGAATTTTCACTTGTTTAAAAAGACTGTAAGACCCTATTCTTACAATGCAGTTCTGTGTGCTTAACCTTTAATATAGCTGATTAAATGATACGTTTTAGAGATGAAATAGTTGCAATATTGAAAAGAGAGTGCCAAAAATTATAAGCAGTATTAAGAACTGAAGCCCAGCATAGTGGGAGCATGTCTGCAGTTCTTATATAAAATTTTTAAAACTTACGCCTTTAAAAAAATTTTTCTCCTACAGACTTAATTACTGAGGTACCTTAAGTATGTAATTTGAAGAAAATACATGTTACAAATGTGGCATTATATATATTTCTATTTTGAAAAAAAATGGCCACATCATGTACATTGGAAATTCATTATAGTTAAATTATAGCAAATTGAAATTGTGTAGACAATAGCTTAAAGTTTTGATAACAGCACAAAAAGTTTTAAGTGGAGCCAAGCTTGGTGGCGCAGGCCTCTAATCCCAGCATTCAGTGGCTGTGGCAGGAAGATGGTTGTGAGTTGGAGCCCAACCTGGTCTGCATAGCAAGACCCTGACTCAACAACAACAAAAACAGAACAGTTTTTCTAAAATATTTCAGCCATGGGATTCAGTATAGTTCAAGGATCCTTTGATTAAAAAAAGATAAGTTAACCATTAAATAGTGAACAATTTACATCCACGTAAATGTTGTTCATAGTTGGTTAAATATAGTATAAAAATCTAGTAAAAAGCAGCTAGCACGCTTTCTCTGGAGTCTCAGTGTGCAGTAGGCTTTGCACTCCTTAGCCTCTCTCTCTGCTCCCATTTCTTCCCTCAGCCTCTCTCTCTGCCCCCATTCCATTCCCTTCTCCAGGCAAACCATAATTTGTAAAAGCGGGTGTGGGGACACACTTAACTGCTTCTGGAGACTGGAAGAGACTGTTTGTTACGCTGCTATTCTTGCAAACTCATAACCAGCTATGCAGCTGTCTACATTGGCCCCAGACTTTATCCTAGTTCTTCCTTTATTTATTTAAAATTTTATTTATTTATTTTTTTATTTGTGTGGGGGGGGGAGCTCAGCCCACCAGGGGGCAGGGCTGGCTGGCATGTGGTGCTGGGGGACCGAACCGCAGTCCCTGTGCGTTGCTAAGCTTGTTCTAAGTAGGTGCCCCAGACCACCAAGCCATCTCACCAGCCCCCCCCTTTTTTTTAGATACAGGATCTCTACCACACAGTTCAGACTCATGCATAGTGATCCTCCTATCTCAGCCTCCATAGCACTGGGATTACAGGCGTGCGCTACCATGCCGGGCTTCAGGCCTGGCATAGTGTGCCTGGGGTTCTGGTGCCTGCACCTCAGGTTCTGGGACAGTCACAGCTTGCGGTACCAGGGATTGAACTTGGGACCTTGAGCTTACCAGGAAGGCTGTTATGCCACTGAGCTATCTCCCCAGCCCCCACTCCCTTTTTTTTTGAGACTGGTTTTGACTATAACTCAGGCTGCCCTTGAATTTGCAGCAAAATTCCTGCCTCAGCCTCCCAAGTGCTGGGATTGTAGGTGTGCACTACCACATCTGGCCTTACCTTAGCCTTTATATTTAGTAGTGCCTCCATTGACAAAATTTTTTTGGAGTTCTCCAGTATTAGTACTGTCTTAAGAATCTGCTATATTTAAGTAGGAGTCCAATTTTTAAATTTATGTTGCTGTTGTTGGTATATGATTTTTTGATTTTTGATATTTCCTGTTTTCTTAATTTATTAAATATCTGGATTTATATAGGGCATTTTTAGCAGTAAAATGTACAGTCCTAGAGCATTTTTACATCATGAAAAGTACTGCCAGGTAGCCATAACATGTGAATTTTATTTATTTATTTATTTATTGTGTGTGTGTGGGGGGGGGGGCCAGCTCAGCCCACCAGGGGGTGGGGCGGGCTGGCATGTGGTGCTGGGGATTGAACCATGGTCCCTGTGCTTTGCTTAGCTTAGCTTGTTCTAAGTGGGTGCTTTAGACCACTGAGCCATCTCACCAGCCCAACATGTGAAATTTTACATGTTTTTTTCTTTGTCTTAGCCAATGTGGTATTGCGTACCTGTAATCCAACTTACTCAGAAAGTTATGACAAGGGAACCAGAAGTCCATAGGCAGCTGGGGTGACTACAGAGGGCTGATGGTATAGCTCACTGCTAGAGCAACCCTGGGTGCAATTCCAGTACTCCCGTCACAAAGAAAAACTTAATATTGTATTCTTAAAACATCTGATGCAAATAAAAAACTCACTTTTATGAAGGAGGTGTACAGTTCTTTTCCTTGTCAAAAGTTCCCAGGTGTATTTTTATCCTGGGAGAGTGTTTGTCTTCACTCTCCTGTTACTTTCTGGTAGTAGGTTAAGTGAATGTGAAAAATCATTCAGTTCTTCCACCCACCCTGTATTCATCTCCTGCCTCTCTTCATCTATTCTCATAGCAAGCCAAGCCAGTTGTTGCTGAATGACTATGCTCTTTTTTTTGTTTTTCTTTTATTTCTTTTTTTTTTTTTTTGCAGCCCATGAGCTACGTCCCCCGACTGCAGCAGCCGTCCAGCCAGGGCCAGTTCCTGTCCCAGACTCAATTTACTGCCCAGGGAATAAGCATGACGACGAACATGCCTCTGCCACCATCCAGCGGCCAAGCTTCCGTGTCTCAAGTATGTTTACAAGTGGGCTGTTTCTTTTTCATGTTACGGTTTCTCTTGATTCAGGCTTTTACAGAGAAAAGTAGTAGCAAAGTTTGTTAAAAAGGAAAAAAAAACCCTTAATAAAATTGGCCTTAAAAATATTCTGCACATCAAGAGATTAATTATAAAAAAAAAAGTTTGCTGCCAATGAGAATTAATTGTTGAAATAAATTTTAGGAAAGGAAAACTCAAAAAAAAAAAAAAAAAGAGATTAATTATTCTGTGACATGTTGATATAACACAATAGGAAATCATTTAAATTGATCACTTTACCTTTTTATTTTATGGAGTGAATACTTTATAGTTTTGGACCTGCAGTGTAGAAGGAGGGTCTCTGGCGCAAGCCCAGAGTGCTCCCCGCTACCTCCTGCAGCACTACGTGCTGAGGTTGCTCTGCTAGGTGGCTTGAGACGCAAGTGCAGTCCTGTCTGAAGATGTGTCCAGTAGTATAATTTGGGGGTTGGGCTTTAAAAATAGAAGCATTATTAACTCTTTGTGTCCTAACTAGATATAACCTGCCTTGTGCATCCCTTCTGTTTTCAACAGGCACAAATGTCCAGCTCTTCCTGCCCGGTGAACTCTCCGGTCATGCCTCCAGGGTCTCAAGGGAGCCACATTCACTGTCCCCCTCTCCCTCAGCAAGCTCTGCATCAGAACTCACCCTCTCCTGTACCTAGTCGGACCCCCACCCCACATCACACTCCCCCAAGCATCGGGGCTCAGCAGCCGCCACCACCAGCAATTCCAGCCCCTGTTCCTACACCTCCTGCCATACCATCTGGGCCACAGCCCCAGGGTTTGCATCCACCTTCCAGTCAGACACCTACCCCGCCCACAACACAACTTCCTCCTCAAGTGCAGCCTTCACTTTCTGCGACCCCTTCAGCTGATCAGGCGCAGCAGCAGCAACAGCCTCGCTCACAGCAGAGTACAGCAGCCTCCATTCCCACCCCCACAGCACCACTGCTGCCTCCACAGCCAACAACTCCGGTGAGCAGAGATTGGGATTTTCCTAGAGCGATTTCAGCTATGGTGACTGCTTATGTTCCATTTCTAGTCTGTTTTTTCTCTCTCTCTCTTTTTTTTTTCCCCCTGTATTTAGGACAGGGTCTCAGTACATAGATTAGACTCCTAGTGATTCTCCTGTTTTCACCCTCCCAAATGCTGGAATTACAGGCCCATGCCACCATGCCCAGTCTCAATCGCCATCTCAGCGTGCCTTGGGTGTGGGCAAGCTCTGCACAAGGGGAATTGAACCCCGGCTGCTGTGCTCTGCCGAAGCAGGCACTTTAGTCTGCTGAACTATCAGGCTGACCTCTAGTCTGTCTATCTCTTGTGTCTCCACAGATACAGTGCAATCTTGCTTTTTTTTTTTTATTAAGACAGGGTCACACTACATACTTCAAGGTGGCCTCAAACCTACAGCCATCCTCCTGCCTCAGCCTCCCAAGTGCTGGGATAGGTTTGACTTTGACCATTGTGTTTCATGTATTCTGAGACCTGCAGTAGAATGGACATAACAAAGCAGACTTTCATTTGCATATTTATTATGTCATTTAGCATACTATAAGAATTTTACACACATTTGAATTTTTTGAGACAGCTTAAATTATAGTACTGTGTGAGCCCAAACTTAACAGATTTAAAAGTCTCAGTACCTCCAGACAAAGTTAACAAGTCAAAGTGAGGCCAGGTGCATGCAGTGTTCCATACCTGTAGTCCTGGAGGCTGAGGCAAGATCACAAGTTCAAGGTCAGTTAGGTAATTTGAGTAAAACCCAGTCTCAATAATAAAATTATTGGTGCTGGGTATATAGCTCAGTGGTAGAACATGCATGAGACCTCGGCTTTAATCCCCATTACCACAGCCAAAAAAACTAAAATAATTAAAAATTAAAAGTTTTTAGGGGCTGGTGAGATGGCTCAGTGGTCTAAAGCACCTACTTGGAACAAGCTTGGCAAAGCAAAGGGACCGCGGTTCGATCCCCCAGCACCACATGCCAGCCAGCCCCGCCCCCTTGTGGGCTGAGCTGGCCATACACACACACACACACACAAACACACACACACACAATAAATAAATGTAAAAATAAATAAATAAATGATTTAAAAAAAAATTACTTGCTCTTTCATATGTCACCAGCCCACTGTGTTGGTCTTTAATATCCTGCTTTCAAAAGAAGAGGAAGTACCATAGATGGGTTTCATGCATTAGCTCAAAATAAGTGCTTAATCCTCTGCAGCTTAAGTTCTAATTGTATAATTGATAAACTTGTGTCATCCCTCTCCCCCTTCTCCCCAGCTGTCCCAGCCAGCAGTGAGCATTGAAGGACAAGTATCAAACCCTCCATCTACAAGTAGTACAGAAGTGAATTCCCAAACAATTCCTGAGAAGCAGCCTTTGCAGGAAGTAAAAATGGACGGTAAAATGGAAATGGACCAACCAGAACCAGCAGATGCTCAACCAGAGGATATTCAGGAGGTGAGAAGCAGTTACTACAAAGAATCCAGTTTATACAAAGTCAGTATTATGGGCAAGTGTTCTGATACTTAGGTCTCATTGCAGTGATTTTCCACTGGGAGGGTGTGGAGCTATGTCCATGTGATGTAATGATTAAGACTTTAAAAAAAAAAAAAGTTCTTTTGCTTCCTATTAATTGTATGGGGTTTTTTTTTGGATTTTGTTTTTTCGTCTTTTTGAGACAGAGTTTCACTATGCAGTTCAGGCTGGCTTTGAGCTCACTGTGTAGCCCAGGCTAGTCCCAAACTCACAATGATCCTCCTGCCTCAGCCTCCTGAGTATTGGGATTACAGGTGTGCACCACCACACCCAGCTTTTTTTTTTTTTTTTTTTGGTAGGGGATTGAACTCAGTACCAAGTAGGCACTTTTGCCACTCAGCTATCTCCCCTGCCCTAATTAGGTGTTTAAGAATACTAAAAATTACTATATTTTAGACTAAAGCAGAGGAATGTAAAATGGAGCCTACAGAAACAGAAGAGCGAAGCACAGAATTAAAAACTGAAATGAAAGAGGAGGAAGACCAGCCAAGTACTTCAGCTACCCAGTCTTCTCCAGCTCCAGGACAGTCAAAGAAAAAAAGTAAGTCTTTTAAGTGCTCTCTTGGGGCTGGGGAGATGGCTCAGTAGAATAAGCGCTTTCCTGGCAAGCGCAAGGGCCTGAGTTCAATCCCCAGTTTCTGAAAAAAAAAAAAAAAAAAAAAAAATACACTGTTGACCATGAGCAAAATCAGGAGAGATTTCCTTAATTAGGTGTTCTCTTCCCGCAGGTAGCAAAAAAGTCCAAATCCCACAAGGCTGGGCCTCTTGGGTCTCAGTGACTGGCATTAAAAGGATTTCTTTACGTCTAGAGACCTGGGCCTTATTTATGTGTTATATCACTAGTGTTGGGGAGGAACTTATTTTTGATTTAGGGCTATGCATTTACTTCACCTGCTGGTCTGTGTGCACTCCATTTCTTCAGGGTTTGGTTGTTAGCATCCAGAAAGTCTCTTTCAGAAGAGATAAATTGTTAAATAATATCCTTGACAGAAATGCAAGAAAGAATGACATAATAAAAGTTGCATTTGTGTTTTGCCTTTTGTGTGCCAGCCATGTCCACAGTCTCACGTAGCCCCGCAACAGCTCCAAGGTTACTGGGTGTTACTCTTGTAGGCAGGAAAGCTGAAGCTTGGCCAGGTCACGGAACGTCCCCAGGCACACAGCTGGCTCTTAGCAGTGCTGCACAGGTGAAGTGGCACCAGCAGGACTTAAACCTCGAAGGCAAATGTGCTGGCTCTTGTAGGAGATACATAAAAGTGTGCTCTATACAGTGTGCTATAAAATGGATGGCTTAAAAATCACTTAAGGCAGTTGTGTAATCCCTGAGGACCTGGGGCAGGATGATTGCTGAGTTTTAATTCAAAACTGAACCCTTAATCAGCGTTAATCAGTTTTATTTGGTACATCATAGAAAAGTCTTTCTTTTGGGAGATGTTACTGAGACTACATTGAGTAATTCTGTCCTAGCAGTAATGTTTTTATTTATTTATTTTTTATAAGTTTAGGACAGGGTCTCACTAAATAGATTGGACTCAGTGATTCTCCTGTTTTCAGCCTCCCAAGCGCTGGGATTATAGGCGCAGCCACCACATTCAGTCTCAATCACTCAGTCACCATCTCATTGCGCCCTGGGGGTGGGGCTGGCACAGCACACCAGCTCTGCCTAAGAGGCGCTTTAGTCTGCTGGGCTATCTGGCTGGCCCGATTTAATTATTTTCTTTTAGACCAATAACCAACCTATCATTTGACATTAAAATAGTGTCGTCCCCCCCAAAAAAAAAAGTGTCCCTCCTCAGCTCTTTTTCTTTGTATTACATACTTGCCACACGTAACGATTACATTTATCATAGGATATTTGTACCTGTATATGATATATCTTAATTTCTTTTCCCAATCCTCTCTCCGAAGCTTTGTTTCCATTTTTTTCCTTCCATTCTCAACTTTTTTTTTTTTAAATCTCAACTCTTCAAGCATTTTTGTGAAAGACTTCCTTCAGTGCCTTTGATGCCTGTGGTGATAAGACACCATGTCTGACTGGTGTCATGAAGGAGGACATCTGTTTGACAGTACTCTTTGAACTATTATTTTGGCAAGTCTCTTCTTAGGTTTTTAGAAACCTTTGACTCCCATTTCTACTGAATTTGTGCATGGAAAATTCAAGCTGGTAAGGGTGGTGAAGAGGCTTGCTACTTTTTTTGTTTTTTGCGGAACCAGGGATTGAACTCAGGCCCTTGCGCTTGCCAGGGAAGAGCTTATTCCACTGAGCCATCTCCCCTGCCCCTATGGCTTGCTACTTTGTAGGCAGTATAATACAGGATTAGGAAGTTAAGTCTTAGTCTTAATTTCCCTGATTTTTGTGATACTTGGGATTCTTTTTAAGCTTTCACTTGAATATTTTAAGAAGTCTATGGCTTAATTGCAGCTGACGTCTTCTTAAAGTTTTTTTCTTCTTCTTTTTCTTAAAGTTTTTAAACCTGAAGAATTACGACAGGCCCTGATGCCAACCCTGGAGGCACTTTACCGGCAGGACCCAGAATCCCTTCCCTTTCGTCAGCCTGTGGATCCACAGCTTCTAGGAATCCCTGTAAGTATTTTGTGGTTCTTGTGTTGTTCTTGTTTTACCTTGGTAACTTTATTGAGATACAATTTCATACTCTGTCAGGCACCTCTTTGGGGCTTTAAACAAAAAAAAAACAAAAACATGTTTATGTAATGATTACATTCCTCCTGGAGAGTTGGTAAGTGTAATTATTTGTTTCTATTTTTAATGCCCTCCATCCCTTAGTTCCCACTATATTTGCAAAAGATCTGTCTTCCTGTTTTCTATTACCTGTCTTTTATTTTGCTCTTTATTTTTACCTTACATTTCTCATACAAAGGAAACTATGAGTTATTTTAAGTTTGTATGTTTTTTACTTAACATTATAACCTCAAGGTAACTCCATTTTCCTACAAATGGCTCAGGTTTAACTTTATGGCAGAATAGTACTTCATTGTGTATGAATACCCCATTTTATGTATTCATGTATTGATGACTATATGGGCCACTTTTAAGATTTAGTTACTGTGAATTGACGCAGCACCTGCTTTTAAAGTGTTTCATTTCTTTGAGTTTTAGTGTATTCGCAATGCTGTAATTTTAATGTATTGCCATAATCACCCAAAAGAAACCCCACATCTATTGCAATCACCAAGTTTCCTTCTATAGCACATCCTGACCCCTATCCTTAGGCCTTACCAGGTTCCCTTTTGCATCATGTTTAGTCAATTGTGGACATTAAATGGAAACACAATACGTGGTTTTTAGGACTGACTTTTTTTTTTTTTTTTTTTTTTTTGGTGGAACCGGGGGTTGAACTCAGGCCCTTGCACTTGCCAGGGAAGCACTTATTCCACTGAGCCATCTCCCCAGCCCCTACGACTGACTCTTTTCACTTAACTTTTTTTCCCCCCTATATTTTAGGGAAGGGTCTACAGGGTATTCAGGGTGTCACTACTAGATCAGACTTGTAGTGATCCGCTTATTTACAGCCTCTTAAGTGCTGGGATTACAGGCATGCACCACCATGCCATGCCCAGTCTCATTCCCATCTTAGCGTGCCCTAGGGGTGGGGCCGGCCCAGCAGGCCCAGGGATTGAACCCTCAGCACCCTGTGCCTGCTTGCAGGTGCTAATCCACTGAGCTATTTGGCCGGCCCTCAAGCAAAATTTTTTGAGGTGGGGGACTATATTAAAGATTGGACTAGAGTTTCACACATATGGAACATACATGTGTTACCATTGAGCTACATTACCAGTCTTTTTTTTATTTTTAATACCCCCAGTGTTTTGAAAAAAAATTTTATTGTGGCCTTAAACTTGCCTTCCTCCTAATTCTCATGTGCAGCTGGAATAATGGGTATATGGTCTTTTTTACAACCTAGTGATGTGGATATACCACTTTTATTTATTTATTTATATTTTAGGGAATGGTCTACAGGGTCCTTAGGGTCTCACTACTAGATTGGACTCCTAGTGATCTGCCTGTTTACAGCCTCCCAAGAGCTGGGCAATAGACTCAGAGGCGCACATCACCATGCCAAGTCTTAATTGCCACCCGGGCTCAGGCGCCCTCCCTCTCCCCCGCAGGGCTGGCACAGACAGGGCAGGCCTGGGGATGGAAACCCTGGCTCCTCCACTGAGCTCTTTGACCCGCCTACCACTTTTTTCTTTACCCATTTATTAGCTGCTTCCCCCCCCCCCTTCTATTAGTTTATAGGCATTTGGCTTGTCTCCACTTTTTGCCTACTGAGGACAATGTCACTGTGAATATTCATGTTGTGATTTTTTTTTAATTATTTATTTTTATTTATTACATTTATT